GCTGTCGGGTTTGTCCTGTGGCTCCTGGTGGACGGTTGGTGTTTGGGCTTCATCTCTCCCCTGGTCCTGATGTGGATCCTCCTGATGTGGATCCTCCTGATGTGGATCCTCCTGATGTGGACGTCTCTCTGGAAGGAAATGTGGAATTGTTTTGAATCACTGTAAAACACTTTGAGTTACATTTTTATATGAAAAGTGTTTTATAAATAAAGTTTGTTTGATTGATCCCGTGTCCTTGATGAGGTGCAGTCGGATCAGGAGGTTTTTCTGTTCAGAGTTTGTGGACGTCGAGGAGACGGGGACAAAACCTCCGTCCTGTAAAGTTCCTCTGAGTGTCCCACGTTCACTCTGAATGAAGATTTGTCTCGTCTTAAAACGGCCGTGGGTCAAATTCTCGGTAAATTTGTGTAAAAATAAAAAATAAAAACCTCCAGATGTTTTTTTTTTGTTTTATATGTTTTTTTTTTTTAAGTTTTTTTGTTTTATATGGGTTTTTTAAAATGTTTTTTATGTTTTTTATGGGGTTTTTTTTTTTTTATGTTTTTTTATGGGTTTTTTAAAATGTTTTTTTATGTGTTTTTTTTATTTTTTATGTTGTAGTGGAGCTACAGTTTTTCTGCTGGAGTCTCTGAGGTCGTGTCTCTTTTTCGTGTCAGGATTTGGATTCCGTATGATTTTCCTTTTCCAGACTTTTCTTGGTTTTTGAGCGGATCAATCGTCTGTGAGGAAATGTGATTTGAAATTCAGCAAAAATGTTCAACAGTGAAAAAATTAAATTGTGAAATGTCAGAACCCGTTTCTCTGATCAAACGAAAATATGAGACTTTGTCAATAAAGAATCAATAAAAATTTGTTTTTTTCTTGTTTTCTGAAAATGTCCAAATATGATTCAGGCTCTGAGATAATACTCCCTACAACTGTGTAACAACTCACCCTTCTGGAACTGGTTTAGTCTCTGGTCTCTGGTCTTTGGTCTTTGGTCTTTGGTCTTTTTGGTTTTTGTTGAATTTGAATAAATGATGAAGATGAATATTTGAGCAGAACAGGTGACACATGATTTATTCACACACACACACACACACACACACACACACACACACACACACTATACACACACACACACACTATACACACACACACACACACACACTATACACACACACACTATACACACACACACACACACACTATACACACTATACATATACACACACACACACTATACACACTATACATACACACACACACTATACACACACACACACTATACACACACACACTATACACACACACACACACTATACACACTATACATATACACACACACACTATACACACACACACACTATACACACACACACACTATACACACACACACACACACTATACACACACACACTATACACACACACACACACACTATACACACACACACACACACATATACACACACACACACACACATATACACACACACACACACACACTATACACACACACACACTATACACACACACACACACACACTATACACACACACACTATACATATACACACACACACACTATACATATACACACACACACACACACACTATACACACACACACACACACACACACACACACACACACACACTATACACACACACACTATACACACACACACATACACACACACACTATACACACACACACACACACACACACACATACACACACACACACACACACACTATACACACACACACACACACACACACTATACACACACACACACACACACACTATACACACACACACACACACTATACACACACACACACACACACACACACACACACACATACACACACACACACACACACACACACTATACACACACACACACACACACACTATACACACACACACACACACACTATACACACACACACACACACACACTATACACACACACACACACACTATACACACACACACACACTATACACACACACACACACACTATACACACACACACTATACACACACACACACACACATTCCCTCATGTCCCTCGTCACATGTGGAGAGTAAATCCAGGTCGGGTTTTGTGTCTTGTGGGACCTGAGTTCTTTGACCCGGTGGAGCCGAGAGACTTGAGCAGATTTCACTGTGAGCCGTTTATCACTGAGGCCGAGGCCCCGCCCCCCAGCGGCTTTACACGTGCCCGTGCACACGTGCCCGTGCACACACTGGAGAGATGCCCCCACCCGCTTCTGTCACAGGACACATTAAAGCTGCACTGCGGAACTTTTCGGTTGGGGGTCCGTCTCCTGTTTGTTTCTATGGAGACGTCGCTGTTCTGTCTGAAATGTTCCGCAGTGTAACATTAAACGTGTTCAGGTTTGAGACTCGTGACTGTGACGCGTTGCCTCTCCACAGACCTGACCTGGAACACCGTCTGATAAACAGGTTTAATGCCACAATCTGGAACATTCCCTACAAAACAATAACATCTCCATGGAGATGAGAGGCGCACAGACCCTCCACCAGAAAAGTTACACACTGCAGCTTTAAAGTGTTTAACTACAGAGAGCGATTAGATTTATACTAACAAAGTATTTAAAGTATTCATATTTATACTAACAAAGTATTTAAAGTATTTATATTTATACTAACAAAGTATTTAAAGTATTTCATATTTATACTAACAAAGTATTTAAAGTATTTATATTTATACTAACAAAGTATTTAAAGTATTCATATTTATACTAACAAAGTATTTAAAGTATTTATATTTATACTAACAAAGTATTTAAAGTATTTATATTTATACTAACAAAGTATTTAAAGTATTCATATTTATACTAACAAAGTATTTAAAGTATTCATATTTATACTAACAAAGTATTTAAAGTATTCATATTTATACTAACAAAGTATTTAAAGTATTTATATTTTAACAAAGTAACAAATATTTAAAGTATTATATTTATACTAACAAAGTATTTAAAGTATTTATATTTATACTAACAAAGTATTTAAAGTATTTATATTTATACTAACAAAGTATTTAAAGTATTTATATTTATACTAACAAAGTATTTAAAGTATTTATATTTATACTAACAAAGTATTTAAAGTATTTATATTTATACTAACAAAGTGTTTAAAGTATTTTAATTAAAGTATTTAAAGTATTTATATTTACAGTATTTATATATCGAGTATAAACAGGTAATATTTACTGTGTCTGTTGGTGCGTTACGTCCAACAGAACCGACAGAACCGACAGAACCGACAGAACCGACAGAACCCGCAGGTTTTCGGTTTTTCACACTTGAGATTTTCTGTCCCATAATTCCCTCAAATGTGAGATTCACATCAGAGATCAGAGTTGGTCCGGGTTTGGGTTCTGGTTCTGGTTCTGGGTTCGGGGTTTGGACTCCGGAGTCTTGGCGGAACGAAAATTCCGTAATGAAGATTTACAGGCGCGTGACCCGCACAGACACCGATCAACACGCGCGAGCCTCGACACTGATTACGTCAATAAATCCCGAGACCAGAGACCCGAGACCCGAGACCAGGACCAGAGACCAGAGACCAGAGACCCGAGACCAGAGACCAGGACCAGAGACCCGAGACCAGAGACCAGGACCAGAGACCAGAGACCCGAGACCAGAGACCAGAGACCCAGAGACCCGAGACCCAGAGACCCAGAGACCAGAGACCAGACCAGAGACCAGAGACCAGAGACCAGAGACCAGAGACCAGAGACCAGGACCAGAGACCAGAGACCAGAGACCAGAGACCCGAGACCCGAGACCCGAGACCCGAGACCCGAGACCAGAGACCAGAGACCAGAGACCAGAGACCAGAGACCAGAGACCAGGACCAGAGACCAGGACCAGAGACCAGGACCCGAGACCAGAGACCAGGACCAGAGACCCGAGACCAGGACCAGCGGAGACCCGGGCCCCCGGCTCCTCCAGCGGCTGAGCGCGCGCTGTGAGTCCGGCCCAGGCGCGCTCTGGTCCGGGCAGCGGCAGCGCAGAGTCCCGCCGCGTGTGGAGCTCCCGGAGCAGAGAGCGACTCTGGAGCCGCGCGGTGTCCGCCTCTGGAGCCTCACACCCGGGCACACGCGGAGGAGAGCGCCGCTGGTTCTGGAGCCAGAAAAGAAACGCTCCAGATTCTAAAAAACAAATAAAGAAAAACATTTTCGAAAAAAAAAAAAAAGAAGAAGAAGAAAAAGGCCGCGGGTCATTTTCACGGACGCGCAGAACCAACAACAAAAACAAAACAAACAATAAAAACAAACAATAAAAACGAAAAACATGCGACGGAAAAACAACAAAAAATCCCCATAAAAAACAAAACAAAATAAAACCCGCGTCTCTTTAACTGACTCAGACTTTAAATAATAATAATAATAATAATAATAATAATAATAATAATAAACATTAATATTATTAAAACGTCGCGGCTCCGCGTTTCTGACAAAATCTTTTTGACAAAATCTTTTTACGGAAACAGTTTCGTAAAAAACATTTCGATGTTTCGTGACGTTTTATTTTTTTTCTTTTACATTTTCTTCGTATTTTATTTTAAAATCATTTTCTTATTAAAGCTCAAAAACTGAAGCGGCGCACGTGAGACTGAAAACGCGCGCGGCCTCCGCTCCGAGGCGCGCGCGGCCTCGTGGATCCGCGGAGGGTCCAGCCCGGTCCGGTTTGGTTCGGTTCAGTTCGGCCGGGTCCGGTTTGGTTCGGTTCAGGTTTTAGTTTTTCTCGTGTTTTGTTTTGTCTCGTGCGCGTGACCTGAGCTGAGAAAAGAGGCAGGTGACACGTGACAGGGGGACAGGTGCAAGTTTATTTTCAGCCGAAGGTTTTGAACAAATGAATCAAAATTATATTTACACGAGAGAAGAAGAAGAAGAAGAAGAAGAAGAAGAAGAAGAAGAAGAGGCGCCGTGACGTCACTGACGAAAACGACAAATATGAAGAAAAATGAACCACGAGACTTTTACCCCACGACACAAACACCTGGACCTGACCCGGACCTGACCCGGACCTGACCCGGACCTGACCCGGACCTGACCCGGACCTGACCTGGACCTGACCCGGACCTGACCTGAGTCTGTTTCTACTAACACCTCTGGTCCGTTTCAGCTCCTCCCTCCTCAGAGCTGGACAGGAGCGACAGGAGCAGGTGACAGGAGCGACAGGAGCAGGTGACAGGGGCGACAGGGGCGACAGGGGCAGGTTTGTAACATCTCAGCTCCGCCGTGTCCCAACACCTCACACAGGGTCAGGGGTCACGGGACCAGGGGGCGGGGACACAGGGTCAGGGGGCGCTGACACGGGGTAAAGGGGCGGGGACACGGGGTCAGGGGGCGGGGACAAACAGAAACACAGTTCACGTCGTCCAATCTATAAAAATGACCTTTGACCTTTGCCCTGGTCTGGGGAACATGCAGCGTTTGGATCAGAACCACCGATTTTTCACTAAAAAGTTTGAGTCTAAATTTAGAAATGTAAAAATGAGAATTCTCAGATTCTCGGCGCTTCGGGTCGACTTGAGTCCATTTTAAAATAAAGTTTGTTTTGACGTGATCTTATTTTGAAAAGTCGTTTTACTGGAGGATTTGTACAGAGTCTGAACGCCTGAAAGGTCCAAAATGTACAGAATATTCACAGAACAGCTGCAGGGTGTGAACAGCTGCAGGGTGTGAACAGCTGCAGGGTGTGAACAGCTGCAGGGTCTGGTCCGAGCTCTTCAGTTTAAGACTTTCCAAGTCTTTTTAAAGTTTGTTTCAGATTTTCAATCCTCAAAGTCTCAAAGTCTGATCCAGTTCTTTTTCAGAATAAAAGCCCAGAAGTCTCAGACGTTTCACAATAAAAGTTTTTTTTTTTCACAGAAAACAAATGAAGTTTGTCTTAAAATAAAACGTAAGGCACGAAACGAGAAATATTTAAAATAAATAAAGCATAAATAATTTTGTAAAATAAATAAATATTAAAAATTCACACAAAAACATTAAGATTCAGAATCCTGAGAGTCCCACAGTCCTCGGGTCCTCGGGTCCTCAGGTCCTCGGGTCCTCGCCGTTGTGTCGCTGTTTTTTCCAAAGAAAAACAGTTTCTTCTTCCATTTTTTGTCTTTTTCATAATAAATATTTGCGTCAAATCTTAAGACTTTTACAGACGTGAAAATAAATAAACGAAACATCGAAGTTTTAAGACTTGACCGAGGGTTTGATTCCCCACAGATAAAGTATTGGACTGATGTTCACTGCCGCTGTGCTTTTGAGCCAAACAAGAGTCCTGGTTCAGTCCTGGTTTAGTCCTGGTTTAGTTCCGGTTTGGTCCTGGTCTTAGCGGGCGTAGTTTCGGGCCGGGCCTTTCTCCTTGTAGACCTCGGGGTGGACTCGGTCCTGGGTCTTGAACAGGTCTTGGGCCAGTCTCTCGTACTTGTCCTTGTACAGGTCTTGGGTCCGGTCCTGGGTCCGGTCCTGGGTCCGGTCATGGGTCCGGTCTTGGACCAGGTCTTGGGCCAGTCTCTCGTACTTGTCCTTGTAGAGGTCTCGCTCCTTGGAGACCCGGAGCAGGTCCTGCTGGAGCTGGGAGACCTGGTTCTGGAGCGAGCTCTTCTCGGTCTCCAGCAGGTGGCGCTGTTGGACCCGTTTGAAGCGGCAGGACTGAGCGTAGCCTCGGTTCTTCAGGGTTCTGCGCTTCTGCTTCAGCCGCAGAACGTCCTCTTTGGAAAAACCGCGCAGCTGCCGGTTCAACTCCCGAACCGTCATCGACACGAGCTGCTCGTCCGAGAAACGCTCCTCCAGACGCCCGTGGACCTGAGGACAGAGGGAGGCACTGCTGAGTCTACAGACGCAGAGCGACGCAGAGCTGCAACTACAGACGCAGAGCGACGCAGAGCTGCAACTACAGACGCAGAGCGACGCAGAGCTGAGTCTACAGACGCAGAGCTGCGTCTACAGACGCAGAGCGACGCAGAGCTGCAACTACAGACGCAGAGCGACGCAGAGCTGCGTCTACAGACGCAGAGCGACGCAGAGCTGCGTCTACAGACGCAGAGCTGCATCTACAGACGCAGAGCTGCGTCTACAGACGCAGAGCGACGCAGAGCTGCGTCTACAGACGCAGAGCTGCATATACAGACGCAGAGCTGCGTCTACAGACGCAGAGCTGCGTCTACAGACGCAGAGCTGCGTCTACAGACGCAGAGCTGAGTCTACAGACGCAGAGCTGCGTCTACAGACGCAGAGCGACGCAGAGCTGAGTCTACAGACGCAGAGCGACGCAGAGCTGCGTCTACAGACGCAGAGCTGCATCTACAGACGCAGAGCTGCGTCTACAGACTGTGCAAACTGTGGGGTGGAGGTGTTACCTGTGCAGGTGGGTGTGGGGGGTAGTGGTGGGGGGGTGGTGGTGGGGGTGGGAGTGTTACCTGTGCGAGCGCCTGGCTGTGCAGGTGGCTCAGGTGGTGGGGGTGGTGCGGGTGCTCTTCGTAGGGCGCTCCCCTGAATGTCTCGTAGTGATGAGCGTTTGACCCGATCAGAGCCTCCACGGCGTCCTCCGGGGTCAAACTCAACGCCTCAGGACCTGAGTGCGGCTGGTACCCGCCCACCTGTGACATCATCACCAACATGTGACATATGACCCACAGTGTACCCGCCGTGTACCCACAGTGTACCCGCCGTGTACCCACAGTGTACCCGCCGTGTACCCACAGTGTACCACGTACCCGCCGTGTACCCACAATGTACCCGCCGTGTACCCACAATGTACCCGCCGTGTACCCACAGTGTACCCGCCGTGTACCCACAGTGTACCCGCCGTGTACCCACAGTGTACCCGCCGTGTACCCACAGTGTACCCGCCGTGTACCCACAATGTACCCGCTCACCTGTGGTACAAAACAACCCACTGTTCCAGTCCACCAGCCCCAAACTGTACTGCAGTACTTGTACTTGTACTTGTACTGCAGTACTTGCACTTGTACTGCAGTATTTGTACTTGTACTCACCCAGTAAATTTCCTCGTGGCCTTTTCCGGGCCCCGGGGCCAGAGCGCCCCCCGCGGGGCCGTGGGGGGGGCTGGGCTGGGGGCAGAAGCTCGGGGAGGAGGGCACCGAGGAGCAGGGGGAGCTGAGGGGGTACTGAGGGGGTACTGGACACGGACCCCCCGGGGCCCCCGCAGGACCCGGGGCACAGGGGCCCGGGGCCCGCGGGCTGGTGGTGGCACAGCGGAGGCTCCGGAGGCTCCTTCTTCACCTCGAACTTCATCAGGTCAAAGTCGTTCACGTAATCCATGGCCAGAGGACTCGAGGGCAGCGCGCGCAGGTCCCGCAGGTCCCCCCGCAGGTCCCCCCGCAGGTCCGGGCTCACCAGCTCCGCCATGAGACTCGGGTCAGACTCGGGTCAGACTCGGGTCTGAAGTGACTCAAAGTTGAACAAACCGCAGGAGTAAAAACGCGCGCGGCTGAAATTTGCGGCTCGGATCTGGAGCTGGTCTGGATTTGGTCCGGATCTGGTCTGGATCTGGTCTGGATCTGGTCCGGTGTCGGGTTTCACTCTATTTTTATCCGCGCGCAGCGGGGGGCGCGGGGGGCGCGAGGGTCCGGGGGGGTTGTGCGGCCTCTGCGCGCGCTCCGCCCGGGAGCTCTGAGCCCGCGCCCCGCTGAGTCCCGGAGCTGTCCGGGGGTTCGGTCTTGATCTGGTCCTTGGGTCAGAACTGTCCTCGTGTCACCCCACACGCGCACGGTCACGCGCACAATGAAGGAGACTCTGGACCCGACGCGCGCGTCCGGAGCGCAGCGGGACTCCGGTCCCGTCCGGCTGGGCTCAGGTGGATCCGGCTGCGCTCGTGTCCGGGCCCGGTCCAGTCCCGGTTCGGTCCCGGGTTCGCTGTGGTGTTTGGTCTTTTTTTCCTGCGGATTTGTCACATTTTGATCTTCGTCTTTTTAAAAAGTTTCTTTTAATCCTCAGTCGCTTTATTCTTGTTCCCCGCGCGCTTCAGGAGGCTCCGGTGCCGCGGGGCTCCGGGGGCCTCTGTGCCCGGGCTCTGGGTTCTGTTCCCCGGTTCTGTACCCGGAGGTTCTGTTGCGGGTCACACAGACGCACGGGGGCCGCGTGTGTGCGGTGCTGCTGCGCGCGCTCTGGGGATGCGTGAGGCGCGTGGACGCTGATATAAGCGCGTGCCATTCGTGACCCTCCCACCAGGGGCACAAACAGCCAATAGGAGCAGAGCGCGGCGGGGGGCGGAGCTGCGCGGAGCCAATCGGAGCGCGAACGGACGGAGACTGCCGAGAAGTGACGGAAACTGCCGAAGTCCTCCGAAGGTGATCCGGAGAACAGCGCGAGCTCAGGTGAGCTCGGAGCACGCGCATGGCACCTGCACGTGCCTACGTCACGGCAGGTCTAGTGGCGCGTGAGCGCGGGAAACAGAAAGTTTGAAAAGTGGCGTTAATGACGCTGCGGAGACGCGTCAGATCCGCTTCAGTCCGACCCCAGAAGCGCTGCGTCTGCGGAACAGACACGCATCAGACACGCATCAGATACGCATCAGATACGCATCAGATACGCACATTGACAATCACCAATAATCACCCGCCATCCTCCCCAGACCGGGACCAGACCGGGACCAGACCGGGACCAGACCGGGACCAGACCGGGACCAGACCAGGGTCAGAACCCGGCCTTTGGACCGAGCCACATGTTTAAAGTTTTAAATAATCAAATCAGAATCAAACCAAATCAAATCAAATCAAAAGGCCTTTCCTTCCGCCGCGTGCGCGCGGCCAGGCTCGTGCGCGCGGCCAGGCCCGTGCGCGCGCAGGTGGGTCACGCGCCGCGTGTCTTTTCAGTGAAAAATCGCCTCAGATTAAATCCGCCAAAGTGCTGAGCGCGGAGCAGCGCGGAGCAGCGGCGTAAGCACCGCGCCTCGGTCCGGCCTTTGTCCCGGGCCAAAGTCCACGGTCCGGTCCGCTTTGTCCCGGTCCGCTTTGTCCCGGTCCGCCTTTGTCCGGTCCGCTTTTGTCCGCGCCTGAGCCGGATCTGAGCCGCGGGTCGCACGGATTAGAGCAGCGCGGATTTAAAACGATCTGAGCGGAAAGCGCCGCGTCAGCGCAACGCGCCGCGACACTTCACATCAAACAAAAAGAGAAATATGAGACGCGGAACAGCCGCGTCAGCGACGCGTTTAATGAGGCTCAAGATCCAGATTTTTACAAATCTGCAAAAAAATAACAAAAAAATAAAATAAAATAAAAATGTTTCTGTAAAACAGCGAAGTGGACATCTGACAAGACCAAGACCAGGACCAGGACCAAAACCAGGACCAAGACCAGGACCAAGACCAGGACCAAGACCAGGACCAAGACCAGGACCAGGACCAAGACCAGGACCAGGACCAAGATCAGGACCAAGACCAGGACCAGGACCAAGACCAAGACCAAGACCAGCACCAAGACCAAGACCAGGACCAGGACCAGGACTAGGACCAAGATCAGGACCAAGACCAGGACCAAGACCAGGACCAAGACCAAGATCAGGACCATGTCTTATTTCTGGTCCTGGTCCTGGTCCAGATCCTGGTCCTGGTCTTGGTCCTGGTCCTGGTCCTGGTCTGGACTCTGGACTCAGCAGATATTGATCTTAATTACAGTTTACAGTGTACTACTCTATACAGTACTACAGTACTACTACTACTACAGTACTACTACTACTACAGTACTACTACTACTACAGTACTACTACTACTACTACTACAGTACTACTACTACTACTACTACTACTACTACAGTACTACTACTACTACTACAGTACTACTACTACTACTACAGTACTACTACTACTACTACTACTACTACTACTACTACTATACTACTACTACAGTACTACTACTACTACTACAGTACTACTACTACTACTATTACAGTACTACAGTACTACTACTACTACAGTACTACTACTACTACTACTACTACTACTACTACTACAGTACTACTACTACTACTACAGTACTACTACTACTACTACTACTACAGTACTACTACTACTACAGTACTACTACTACTACTACTACTACTACTACTACAGTACTACTACTACTACTATTACAGTACTACTACTACTACTATTACAGTACTACTACTACTACTACAGTACTACTACTACTACAGTACTACAGTACTACTACTACTACTACTACTACTACTACTATTACAGTACTACAGTACTACAGTACTACTACTACTACAGTACTACTACTACTACTACTACTACTACAGTACTACTACTACTACTACAGTACTACTACTACTACTACAGTACTACTATTACAGTACTACTACTACTACTACTACTACTACTACTA